AGGGGAGAGAGAGAGAGAGGAGACAGAGGAGAGAGAGAGAGACTACAAATCCCAGAATCCCCCCACCCCATTAATAGTCCTTGGCTATTATATCTGGGCAGCTGTGTGGTCACAACATTGGGAAAAACATTCTTAACTGTTAAAGCAGTGTGGCAATGGAACCACTTACTTCGGGATATTGGAGGCATTCAAGAGAAAACCAAACAACTTTCTGTCAGATCTGCTTTGATCTGGGTTCCTACACTGATCAGGGGAGTTGGACTAAGTGGCCTTGTAGGCCCCTTCCAGCTCCATTATTCTTTGACTCTATGGTCCAAAAAAGTTAGTTTTCCCCCGGACTCTGGTCCAATTGAATGCTCAGGGAGAAAAAGGAAATAGGTTGATGGCTAGAGAGAATAGAAAAGAGAATGGGGCAGCATTTTGTGGATTTGCGAATTTAGATCAGTGCCAGTTGTGTGAGGTCGTTGTCAACCAAGAGAAGGTCTTAGTGTGTGCCACTTGGATGAGGAAAGATCCCCCTGCTTCTCAGCCTCCAATCTCTTAATCCCTCTTGTTTTGACATTTATCTGTTTTTGTTTGCATCTCTTCATTTAGGAAATGTAATTCTTGTATCAAGAAATACTAATTACCTTTGCTGGATTTACCACTTCCCTAAATTCTCTCAAGACCTGGCTGGATAGCTCAGTGAGTGGGAAGCTAGGAACTATGAGTTTGATTCCCTACTACTCTGTTTCCCCTAAAATAAGACCTAACCTGAAAATAAGCCCTAGTATGATTTTTCAGGATGCTCGTAATATAAGCCCTACCCCAAAAATAAGCCCCAGTGAAGTGAAACCCTGCCCTCCCACCACTGTGCTTCAACCGGAAGAAGACAAGATGACTGTATTTGAATAAACATAGATTGTTGTACGTGAAAAATATAAAAAATCCCCTGAAAATAAGCCCTAATGTGTTTTTGGAGCAAAAATTAATATAAGATCCTTTCTTATTTTTGGGGAAACAGGGTATGCCACTATGGAGAAAAGCCAGCCTAGGTGGCCTTGGGCAAGCTGCACACTCGTCCCAGAGCACCACCAGAAGAAAGGACTGTGCAACCACTTTTGACGATTTTGGACCTGGAAAACACCGGGAAGGGCTGACATGAGTCAACATCCACTTGATGGCAGATCAATGTTATTGTTGAATTCCCATACCTTTTGAAGGCATTAAGGAGATCTCCTTTTATGCTGTTGGTGGCTGTCGTGGAGCAAGGCTTGAACATGGAAGATGAGGACCTGGCTGGCTCTCAAGCAGGAAGAAGCCATCGAGTTGCCCAGACTGGACCTGACAGCAGTAGGGCATGCTGGGAAAGTGCAATGAAGAGGATTCTCGGAAAATATACCATTGGATCCAAAGAGCCATGTGAGCTCTTTAGGCAGTTTTCATACCAGGAGGCTGAAGGGCCTCGAGAGGTTTGGAGCCAACTCCGCGCTCTGTGCTGTCAATGGCTGAAGCCGGAGCAACACACGAAGGCTCAGATCTTGGACCTGGTGATCCTGGAACAGTTCCTGGCTGTCCTTCCCCAGGAGATGGAGAGCTGGGTCAGGGAATGTGAGCCAGAAACCTGTTCCCAAGCGGTGGCCCTGGCTGAGGCCTTCCTTGTGAGCCTGGTGGAAGAGAAGAAACAGGAAGATTTACAGGTGCAGATACCAAACTTTTTATTAGGGCCGGTCCTACCGTTAGCCAAAATGAGACAGCTCTCCTCTGCAAGCAGATTTTGAATGTTGTGAAAGAGGAGAAAATAGATACAGTGGTGACTCGCTTAACAATGATAATCCGTTCCAGGAAAATCGCCGTTAAGCGAAAACATCGAAAAGCGAAATAAAAACCCCCTTGAAACGCATTGAAACCCGTTCAATGCTTTCCAATGTGGTGAAAACTCACCACGAAGATCCTCCATACGGCGGCCATTTTCACTGCCTGTATCGTGAGGAATCCGTCCCTAAACACCGCGGGGAGCCATTTTAATTACCCGGCAGCCATTTTGAAACCGCCGATCAGCTGTTAGAAAAACATTGTTTTGCAGGGAACCGATCATCGCAAAGCAAAATTTCCCAGTTTAGACCATTGTTTTGTGATCGCAATTGTGATCACAAAAAGATCATCGTAAAGCGGATTTGTTGTAATGCGGGGCAGTCGTAAAGCGAGGCACCACTGTACTTATTTAATTTGTGATGGAGGTGATTTTATTGCTTGGTTTGTGAAAAGATGCCTGTGGGGTTTTCTATACCATGCACCAAAATTAAGTGACTGGTTTGGGGTGCCCAATCCTTGGCATGGGATGCGTGTGCCATTTACCACTCTGGCTCGGGCAGCAAAATATCTTGGAATGGTACTGGACACTTCTAAAAGTGTCCAGCGCCATCCCCTCCATCAAACATATTTCCTCAAATTAAAAATAATAAGAGTAAAGAAGGAATTTTCTTTCCAGTTACAGCAGCTAAGGCCCAAATCCTATTTGTTTTTACTGCCTGTGCAAGGGGTCCATTACACACACACACACACACACGTTTGCTCCATTCCTGAAAGGGTATATTTGGTAAGGCTTGCCCGTTGCTTTGAGCAGAGCAGGCTCTGGCTCACACCATTCAGAGCACTGTGTCTTTGAAGGCATTCCATGTTGAAATTTTGAACAGGATTCTCCCCTAAGCACTGAAGCCAGTATTGCAGTGTTGACACAGAATCAGTGAAACCTGAGACCTTTCAGCTATACTGCCTCCTTCCCTTTCCATCTTTTTTCTTTCATTATTTTTTGAGAGATCTGAGCTCTGTTGTTCTCATTATCTTCAGATGCTATTGTTGGATACGTTTTGGCTTGCATAATTCCATTTAAAATGGGTCCTCCATTAACTGATGCCTTGTTTCAAGTTCAGGTGCTGTCAGCCAAATTGACTTCTGATTTTTGTGAAGCAAGGAGAACTCCATCGGATACCAGACAGAGATTGCTTTTCTGGGGGACCGGCCGAGAGAGCGAAAGAACTACCCGTTCATTAGGTAAGGCTCGTCAACGAATATTTCAAGTTAAGCTCTGCTTCTACGTTTCTGTAGCTGTTTTTCTCTATTTGGCAGGGGTGGGGGAAACCATTTTAACAAACCCTTCTGCTTTAGAGTGAGTTCACACTCTTCATCAGCCTTGCAGTGTAGGTCATTTACTAAAAATAGGTGAATCCACAGACAAGAACTCAGAGTCTATCTGGAGGAGATTGCTCAAGGAAGTGAGTCAAGTTAGATGCAATCGTAAAACAAGTGGTTTTTGGCAGTCCAGTCTCGGAACAAATTCAAGCTATTAAAGGAAAAGGGTCATACTCACTCAGCTGATAATGGTGTATAAAAGATCCCACAAGGAAAAGGGTCATACTCACTTGTGGCATGGGTCAGCTGATAATGGTGTATAAAAGATCCCAACCCTTTCATGTCACTTGCAGGTGGTGGAACGCCACTGGCAGTGCCTGTTCAGTCACCTCCTCCTGGCTATGGAGTGGAAGTCGCTTCTGCGCAGCCAGATCAGGTAAGGATGCGATCTGACACGAGGGAGGTTGGCCATCACTTGGGTACTTCAGACTCTTGGACCCAGGATGCTCTGCCTTGTCCCTCTTGTGTCTGTCGGTCCTGCCCACCAGGAAGGCTTTCCACAGCAGTGCAAACAACATCCTCCTTACTGTTGCTGCTGTTTTGGGTTGTGCTCATTTGTGGAAAAAACGTTGCATTAACTGTGTGGATGGAACCTTCCAAATTCCTCCACTTCTAAATTATCCTTGTACTCTTTATAGTCCTCCTCCTTCTTTTCTTCCTCTTCTTCCTCCTCTCCTGCTACACCTCTTCTTTCTCTTCCTTCTCCTTTTCCTCCTTCCAGGGCCCAGTAACCTTTGAGGAGGTGGCAGTCTGTTTCACAGTGGACGAATGGGCTCTGTTGAACCCGAGCCAAAGAGCTTTGCAGAGGGACGTCATGGAGGAGAATTACGGGAACCTGGCTTCTCTGAGTAAGGATCTTACTTCTTATGTGCCATCAAATCACCCCGACTTATGGTGACCCTTATAAATGAGCGATCTCCCAAATTTCCTTTCGTCAACTATTCAGTTCCTGCAAACCCAAGCCTTTAGAGAGTCCATCCATCTCATATTTGTTCTTCCCCTTTTCCTGCTGCCTTCCACCCTTCCCAGCATGATGGCCTTTTCCAGAGAATCCTGCCTTCTCATGATGTGCCCAAAGTAGGACAGCCTCAGTTTCAACATTATCGCCCCCAGAGATAGTTCAGACTTGATTTGATGTAGGACCAAAGAAAAAAAAGTCAATTTACAAAAAACCCATAACACATGTTTACCTTTTTTGATCTCTTCCAATGTTTTGGCCTGTCCCCATAGCCAGATTTCTGCATTTCCCTGACATGGTTATAGACCACTTCTCTAGGGATTCTAACTCAGTGTTACTTTAAATTCAGGATATTATCCTCCAGATGTTCCTGGATAAGGGTTCTCCTCATCCATGACCATTGGTGATACTGAATGAACTGGGTGCTCAGCTTCTCAGCATTTTACCAGTTCCCTTTTCTTTTTTACCGTAGCAGGTGATAGCAGGAAGAGCCACAGTGAGGAAGAATCTTACCGAGAATACTTAGAAAGACTCATATGTACCGAAGGGGGAAAGGATAGAAGGGATACAGAGGCAAAACAGACAAAGAGGAGCAAATCCTTTGCTTCCAAAGATGTTGAGATCTATGAAAGAACAGATAATGAAAAGAAAAGAAGTATGTGTAGCATATGTGGGAAAAACTTCAGTCGTAAATCACACCTTAATGAACATACACGCATTCACACTGGGGAGAAACCATATAAATGCTCCGAGTGTGGCAGAAGCTTTCGGCGGAGCTCAGACCTTACCTTCCACCAGCGAACCCATTCAGAAGAGCAACCCTTCAAATGCTCTGAGTGTGGCAAGATCTTCCGAAGCAGTTCAGACTTGAGGACTCACAAACGAATCCACACAGGGGAGAAACCGTACACGTGTTCGTTGTGCGGGAAGAGCTTCAGCCACAGCATCAGCCTCCATTCTCACCAAAGAACCCACACTGGGGAGCAGCCCTTCAAATGCGGGGTGTGTGGGAAAAGCTTCACTCGGAACACGGGCCTCACTCTGCACCAGCGTCTTCACACGGGGGAGAAGCCCTATGCCTGCACCTTGTGTGGGAAGAGTTTCAGCTACAGCAAAAGCCATGCAATCCACCTGAAAGTCCACGCAGGGGAGAAGCCGTACACATGTCCCGAGTGCGGGAAAAGCTTCATAGGCAGTTCCTATCTTAAATCCCATCGGAGAATTCACACAGGGGAGAAGCCGTACACGTGCCTAGTGTGTGGAAAGAACTTCCGGTGGAGCACAAACTTTAACGAGCATAAAAAAATCCACACCGCCGAGAATGCTGCTGTGCCTTGAAATGGCTGGATTGTGGAAAGAACGGACAGCGGAGGAGAGGCCTTCTTGTTGGAAGATTCTTTCCAAGAGGGAAACACATATGCAGACAGAAACATTGCGGATTAATCAGTGTGAGGAAAATATAGGGATGTGCCATTCATTTTTTTCTTCTTTCAAAGGCCGACAGCCAGAATTCCCTAGGACAAATTCTGGGATTTCAAGCCTGCAGATCCACACCTATGGACACATATCTTTTGCTCACCTGGACCAGGGCCTAGCTACCTATCTCCAAGGCCTAGTGTAATGATAGTGAGGAATACTGGGGCTTGTAGTCGTAAAGATGGAGTCTGTTAAGTTCTGTACAAGATGATAAAAGCAATGGAATGTGTGAGACTGTTTATGCAGATCTGCTGGGTACAGGGATACGATCCAAAAGGGATACGATCCCTCAGAGATAAAAGGTGGTAGTTTTGCGCCCACAGTGACTCAGGTACAGGGATATGATCCAAAAGGACCTACCTCAGAGATAAAAGGTGGTAATTTTGCGCCCACAGTGACTCTCTGTCGAAACATCATACTCTCTTTAGGGAGAGGTTATGGTTACACCTAGTTCAAGCCTTTTCCCATCATTTCAATGGGCTGTTAAAATTGGGATGCCCTGTCTGGTGTAATGGACTAGGCCCAGGAGATCCAGGTTTGAATCCCTGCTCAGCCAAGGAAACTTGCAGGGCCAGGTTGGAACTAGTAATATTACTCTTTAAATATCTCACTTACCTTAAAAGCTGCTGTTAGAATCCCTACAAGTCGATTCCAGCTTGAAGTCACATAATAAAAATTACCAAAACTAGGATAACATAAGAACGCAGAGGCTTCCAGATCAAACCTGGTGTTTCTTTTTTATCTTTTCTCCATCACTCTTCCCTTGATCCACATTTTGCAACACCCGTTCCCTGTTGAAGAGCTCTAGTGACCCTGAAAGCTTGCTCCTTCCTTCTTTCCGGTCTAATAAACATATTACTCAATCCTGGAGTTTTGGGTTTATTCTTCAAAATTATGACGCTAAGTATTACAGTGGTGCCCCGCATAGCGACGATAATCCGTTTCGGAAAAATCATCGTTATACGAAAATAAAAAGCCCATAGGAATGCATTAAAACCCATTGAATGCGTTCCTATGGGTAAAAAACTCACAGTTAGGCGAAAATTCTCCATACGGCCGCCATTTTCGCTGCCTGGTAAGTGAGGAATGGACGCGAAAACACAGCGGGCGGCCATTTTTTTAACCCGGTGGCCATTTTGGAACTGCCGATCAGCTGTTGGGAAAAGATCGCTATGCGATAATCAGTAAGCGAAACAGCTTATCGATCATCGCAAAGCGATAATTTACCATTTAAAAAATCACAATGCGATCGCTTTTGTGATCACAAAATCTTCATCACAATGTGGATTCGTCGTTAAACGAAGCGCTCGTTAAGTGAGGCACCACTGTATTTGGTACTTCAAGAAGAAGTCAATGCTGAGATTTCAGGAATATTTAACTAGTTTTTTTGGGAGCGGGCTTCCTGCATCTATACATTAGACACGTTCCAAATTTATGTTTTTAGAGTTGTGGTCCAAAAGCACTAACCTGTGACCATTTCATACCCTCAAAGAGGTACCCTCCCACCCTCACCTTCTTTCTATGGGTCCTTTGTTAGACCTTGATTATGCCATTCTGTGCAAGATGAGTAAAAAAACTCTCTCTGTTCTCCTTATGCTTAGCCAATAGCAATGTACTTGTTTATGCTTCATGTACCTGAAAAAGCAGAATTATAATATGTGCTCTTTGTATTTGGCCATTTTCTAATAGGGAAATTGTTACTCTGAGATTGTGTTGTTAATAAAAGTTTCCAATTTTATTTACAGTCTCAGATCCACAGCTTGTGTACACAGCCAGGACCTGGTGTACATTTATATTTTATTTATTTAAAATATTTTCACTCTGCTTTTCTCTTTAAAAAGATGCTGGGGTGGCTGACATCATTAAAAAGGCAGTATTCTTCCTTCTGAAATACTGTACAGTATCTACTTGGTTGTGGCTGCTAGCGATGGGCCGACCTTGCTCTAATCCCACAGGATTCCTACTTTGGAAAATAATTATAGCTATGCTACGTGTCTCCAGCATTGCTGAGCCAGCGTAAGACCTACAAAGTCGCCACGTACTTCAACAACAGCAAAGAGTGAAAAAAGAACCCTGATTGTCATAAAGGTTTGTGCGCTAATGAATAAGGAGGAATTTCCGGACAGTGAGAACTCCTGATTGTCATAAAGGTGTGCGCGCTAATGAATAAGGAGGAATTTCCGGATGGTGAGAACCATTAAGCCATGGAAAAGCTTGCCTCCCAATGTTGTGGGTCATGGAAAAGCTCGCCTCCCAATGTTGTGGGTGCCCCATCATTGGGAGATTTTCAATAAAAGATTGGACAGCCATCTGTCCAGGGTGGAATGAGGTCTCCTGCCTTGGGCAGGGGGTTGGACTAGAAGACCTCCAAGGTCCCTTCCAACCCTACGACAATTCTATGATCCTGTGAATAGTTGCAGATGCAAAATGAGAAATTACTTTTGTACTCAAGATGGAATGACAGTGTAACTCGGGTAGGGAAACCGCTGGCCAAGAGACCTGTGTGGATTTCCTTTCCTTTTTGGGGTTCTTGACCTTTAAATCAGCCTTGGGCTGCCTGTCCCTTCAAGTGAAGGAGATCTTCAAAACGAGGACTGTTCCCTGCTAACCCTTCAGATGGTGAGCAGTCCTCCCAAAAAGGGCTGTGGCCACCATATAGGACAGTCATAACAGGGAGAGCATCCCCACTCCTCCATTGTGTGGGAGCCCCAAGGCTTCACAGATTCGCAGGACCGATCTCACCCACTTCACTGAGGGGTTTGAGGGCTACTGAGCTTCTGAGGAATTGGGAGCAAAACTCTCCTTTTTTGTGTGAAAGTCCGTCTTTGGAACAGGACGGCCAACTGCAAACACAAACAAGGCTCCTGTGCCTTGGGAAGAGGGCATTTCAATAGATGTGCCTGGAATAACAAGCTACTTCTGCTGAAGCGCCCTCTTTCACACATCCGACGAAAGGCTCAGGAGCCCTGTCCTCCATTTCACGTGGCAACCGCCCTGAGCGAACTGTTAACACTCTTTATTCCGAGAGATGACGAGCTCACGTCCTCATGTTTGCTTCGCGAAGAGTTAAAGTGAGCGAGTCGCCCTTCCTAGCAAGGCTCCAAAAAGAGGAAGTTCTTTAAGAACATCTACTTCCGGTCCATCGCCAAATTCGCCTCGGTTTGCTTCCCTACTTCCTTTTTGCCGTTCCCAGCAGGAGAGTAGAGGAACTCCAACTGATGCATTTTGAATTTCGAAGCGTTTCAACCGACTTCTGATTTTTTTAAAAATATAAATTATGCTGCAACCGTGATTTGGGCTTATTCTTGCAGCCTAAAAAACATAAAAACATCCATTGAAGTAGACGGACCAGCGACCCTGCCAGTTCTTACGTGTTGGTCAGATTACTCTGTGGTTGCGTGTTTCTTAGATGAAGGCAATCGCCAACTGTCCCATTTTTTTTCTGTCTGGATGCTTCTCCACCTCCCTGAATTTGATGGTTTCGGGACCGCCTCTTTGCCTCGGCCTGCTGGACAAGGGTCTCTTCAAAATGGGAGAGACCATTAGCTGCATAAGATAAAGGTTCTTCCTTTTGCAGCACTTGCTCCTGCCCAGAATTTGGCCACCCTATCCTATGCCAAAGGAAAGAAATCACTTGTGACAGCAGGGGTGGCAACTGGCAGAAGATCCTTCAAATCCTAATAGAGACTTTCCTTGAATTTAAAATGGAGGCAGAAGAATCGGTTGGTCTTGACCCAGCAAAACGTCCTGATGCAGCGGAAGCTAAGGGTGCTGGGGAGTACTGGGAGAAAGGGGCGAGGACGTTCCTTGGTGAGGACAACACCAGTTTGGACATTCAGCGCCAGCACTTTAGACAGCTCCCCTACCAGGAGGCTGAAGGGCCCCGGAAAGTATGCAGGCGGCTGCATGATCTGTGTCACCAGTGGCTGAAGCCAGAGCAACATACAAAGGCTCAGATGCTGGATATGGTGATCCTGGAGCAGTTCCTCAACATCCTTCCCCTGGAATTAGGGCGTTGGGTGAGAGAATGTGAGCCAGAAACCAGTTCCCAAGCAGTGGCCCTGGCTGAAGGCTTCCTCCTGAGCCTGGCAGAAGACCAGAAGCAGAGAGATCAGGTGGGAACCTGCCGAAAAGACAAAGGTAGCCCTAAGCTCTATCACTGGTTGCCTAGCCTTTATAGAAAATTCTCCAGAGCTGGGATGTCCTAACCTTCCAGTTTAACCACTGAGCCTTGTGGCACGGTGGTTAAACTGCAGTATTGCAGTCAAGACTCTGCTCACAACTTGAGTTCAGTCCCGATACGCTCAGGTAGCCGGCTCAAGAAGGTTGTCTAAGCCTTCCATCCGTCCGAGGTCGGTAAACTGAGTTCCTAGCTTGCTGCAGTGGCAATGTGTAGCCTGCATAATGAGCTTGTAAATCGTCCAGAGAGTGCTTTAAGAGTTATGGGTGGTATATAAGCAGCACACTTTACAGTGGTGCCTCGCTTAACAATTGCCCCGCTCTATGACGACATCGCTTGACAATTAGGTCTTTGCGATTGCAAAATGATGTTTTAAATGGGTTTTTTGTTTAATGATGATCAGTTCCCTGCTTTGGGAACCGATTTTCACTTTACGACAATCAAAAACAGCTGATTGTCGGTTTTCAAAATGGCCGACGGCTGCTTAAAAAGGCTCCTCGCTGTGTTTTTGGACGGATTCCTCGCTTTACAGGCAGTGAAAATGGCTGCCCCTATGGAGAATCTTCACTGGACAATGAGTTTTCAGCCCATTGGAACGCATTGAGGGGTTTTCAATACATTTCAATGGGCTTTTAAATTTTGCTTTATGACGTTTTTACTCTACAGCGATTTCGCTGGAATGAATTAATATCATTAAGCGAGGCACCACTGTACTTTTCTCCCCTCCATTTGACGGTGCTGTATCTGTCTAACCCTTGACTTGTATGCCTTTCCCCCTCCATTTGACGGTGCCGTATCTGTCTAACCCTTGACTTGTATGCCTTTCTCTTGGCTGTCTCACATGCAGGGTCTGTTAGCAGGGGCAGCTCTTCATTTCCATGCAGTGGACAATGCTCCAGAGGAGGCAAGAAATCAAACAAGCTCGGGTAGCAGCAAGGTGTTTGGTGATCTCAATGGAGGTAAGTTCTGCTTCATTTCCCTTGCCCATTTATGTTTAAAATCTTCCCTTGCCTTGGTGCTCCTCTGGGGTCTGTCTAAGTCCTTTAGAGAAAAAATAGATTTGAAGCTTTGGAGATACCGTGGTGCCTTGCTTAACGATTGCCTCGTTAAATGATGAAACCGCTATATGATGACTGTTTTCCGATTGCTTTTGCGATCACAAAATGATGTTTTAATAGGCAAAATTCACTTCCCGACGATCGGTTCCCTGCTTCAGGAACCGATTTTTCGCTAAACAATGTTTTTAAAATAGCTGATTGGCAACTTCAAAATGGCCGCCCACTGTGTAAAATGGCTCCCTGCTGTGTTTTTGGACGGATTTCTCGCTTTACAGGCACTGAAAATGGCAGCCCCTATGGAGGATCTTCACTGGACAGTGAGTTTTCAGCCCATTGGAACGCATTGAACAGGTTTTCAGTGCGTTTCAATGGGACTTTTTATTTCACTTAACAAGGATTTCGCTGCACAGCGATTTCGCTGGAACAGATTATCCTCATCAAGCGAGACACCACTGTAATGTTGTCTGTCTTTGCTTTAAAGACGACACATTTTAAAATAGCTTTCATGGCTTAAAAGTCCATATTATACTCTACAGAACTAGCTCATTTCTTAAATGCTTTGCAGCCTGCTGTTCTTTATGATGTTAAAACACTGCTGTTCCTTTTACCCATGATCCTAGAGGGGGAGAGCACTTCCCCACCCCAGCTTCGTCTCTGTCTTGTTTCAAAATATGAGACAGTGCTTGCTCCCTAAGTTTCTTTGGTCCCTTTTTCTTCTTCTTTATTTTGCATGTGTTTCTTGCTTAATTATGTTGGAAACCATTCAGAGAATGCTCTAGCACTATGGGGTGGTGCATAAGTTCAATCAATCAATCAATCAATCAATCAATCAATCAATCAATCAATCAATCAATCAGTCAATCAATCAATCAATCAATCAATCAGTGTGGTTCATGGGATACCCAGTGTGATGTGGTGGATAGAGTGATGGATTAAGATTCTGGAGATCTAGGTTTGAATTCCCCACTTAGCCATGGGGGAGTGGAATTGGTAAAACAGCTCCTTAAATATCTCACTTACCTTGAAAACCATGTTAGGATCATTATAAGTTGGTTTTGACTTGACAGTATGTAACAAGAACCAAATCAACACTCCGTCAAATGGGTTGGATTTAGTCATGAAAAGATGCCCCTGTGCCACTATTAAATATTCTTGTAGTCCTTAGAGATAAATGACTCTTGAGGGACTTTGGTTCTTTGAAGAAAGAAACAATGCCTGCACATGTATAAATGATGTAACATTTTCATGCCATGTTTGTGTGACTTACAGATGGCGGGAAATCTTTGGCCTCACCCGCTCCATTATCTGCTCCTAGTGATGAATTAGAAGTAACCTCTGTGAGGTCAGATAAGGTAAGGAGGAATTGTTGGGGAAGTGACAGTAATCCCCCCCCCCGGCTGTGCTAATCCCCATCCCCACCTCTCCTCTGTGAGCAAAACCCACCCTTCCTGGATTCTGTCAAAGCTGCCCTACTCAAAAAGGTAGAAGTGCGAGCGATGGAAGTCCACTAAAGGTAAGGAAACGGTTTTATTTGTCTGACTTCAGGTTCCGGTGACCTTTGAGGACGTGGCTGTGTGTTTCACAGAGGAGGAGTGGGTGCTGCTGGATCCAGGCCAGAGAACCCTGCAGTGGGAGGTCATGCTGGAGAATTATATGAATCTGAACTATCCCGGTAAGCCTTCTACAAACCCTTCCAAACATCCTGTTTTGCATGCCTGCATGACCTCTGACGTCTATAGATAGCCCTTCGCTGTCAGAGACAGATTGTCTTAGGATCTCTGATGTCACTTCCTTCTTTTTCCCATTTCCCTTTCAACTCTCTACTGAAGAGGGAAAATCTTTGTTCCCAAGAAGAGAAGACGGCTGTTAAGTCCCTGCATCTCCACCTTAGTTATCTAGAACCAGGATTCCTATCATCTTACTTACTGGCTGAAATCCAGTAGTAAGTTGCCACTACCCTGTTTCCCCGAAAATAAGACCTGACCTGAAAATAAGCCCTAGTAGGATTTTTCAGGATGCTCGTAATAGAAGCCCTACCCCCAAAATAAGCCCTATTTAAGTGAAACTCCACCCTCCACCCTTGTGCAGCAACCAGAAAAAGATGACATGACTGTACAATATTTGAATGAATGTAGATTGTTGTCCATGAAAAAAAATTAAAACATCCCCTGAAAATAAGCTCTAATGCATTTTTTTTTGCAAAAATTGATAGAAGACCCTGTCTTAATTTCAGGAAAACATGATAGTTGCCCGCTGGATCAGGGTGGATTCATCAACTCCTTCCCAAGCTCCATTGATGGGAGGGCAACCTCTGGAGGTCATGGGGCCGTGTCTAGGAGGGCCACCTACCCCCTGATATTTATTTTTTTAAAACAAAAATGCTTTTTAACTGGAAAAGGCTAATTATGCTCTCTGTAGATAAAAATGTTTTCTGAAGATTTTTTTTAAATGAGGGATGTTGGCATTTAAAATATATATATTTTATAAATATATATTTTAAATTGTGGAATGCTGGGAAACAGCAGGATTGCTAGACGGCATATTGAGATCGATAAGGTAAGGGACATGGTGGCGCTGCGGGTTAAATTGCAGAAGCCTCTGTGCTGCAATGTCAGAAGACCAGCAGTCGTAAGATCGAATGCATGCGACGGAGTGAGCTCCCGTCGCTTGTCCCAGCTCCTGCCAACCTAGCAGTTCAAAAGCATGCAAGTGCAAGTAGATAAATAGGTACCACCACGGTGGGAAGGTAATGGCATTCCGTGTCTAGTCCAAAGGAAGGTCAACATATATCAGAGCAGGTCAGAAAGAGAAGAAGGGAAACTGAGAAAGCTCCCCCCTCCCTCTTCTTTGCTTCTCTTCAAAGATGCATCTTCATTATTTTTTATTTATTTTATTTATTGATTTGATTTATACCCCGCCTATCTGGTCCGAAAGTTGCACCCACTCCCCTCCAGAAAGTACTTCATGCCAATCAAGGGTTGGGGAGTAGTCTGTTCTGTCTTCCACAATAATGCTTGGAAACCTTGGATTGTTCCATGACTTAAAACTTCATTTCTTCCTGGGGTTCTTGATATTCTTCTCCCCTTCTCATTCTAGCTGATGATGCCTTGGACGATGAGGAAAAAGAAGAATCATGCAGAGTGTCCTTAAAGAAAGCTAGAGATGTTGAGAGAACAGAGCAAAGTGAAGCAACAGAGACCGAAGCCGCACGGAAGATGAGAAAAGAATCCTTTTCTTCTGAAGGGGACGATGACATCCAGGATGGCTTGATTCAGGAGGAAATAAATGATGGTGATATGTCCTTTGCATCTGGAAACACTGACCTCCAAGAAGAAGCGATGCTTGAAAGCATCAGCCTGGAAGAAGAGACAAATAAGTGCCGCATGTGCGGGCAGAGCTCCTGTCAAAAAGCATGCCAGAGGGCATCGAAACGGATTCCCCAGGGACTGAAACTGTACCAGTCCTCGTTCTGTGGAAGGACGTTCGGTAACAGCCAGAGTCACTCAAACCACTTAAAATGGCACACGGGAGACAAACCATATGAGTGTGCCATGTGTGGAAGGAAATTCACGTCAAGTTTAGACCTCTGGTTCCATCAGAGACGTTACATATATTCCGACCATATGTACGCTCGGGGGGCGGAAGAGCCTTCCGGCGCCTCACAAACACTGGCTGTGATGACAGAACCCTCCTCCCCCTTGAGCTTCTGTGATGAACAGGCAGGAATGATGTCACCTTTTGGCATTTCGCTACAGTGCCGTATGCGTGGTAAGAGCTTCTGTCAAAAAACACACCACAGGGCATTGAAACAGATTCCCCAGGGGCTGAAACCGTACCGGTGCTCATTCTGTGGAAGGACGTTCGGTAACAGCCAGAGTCACTCAAACCACTTAAAGCGGCACATGGGGTACAAACCATACGGGTATGCCGAGTGTGGAAGGAAGTTCACATTGAGTTTAGACCTCCGGTCCCATGTGGGAAGTCACATATACTCTGACCATATGTATGCTCGGGGGGCAGAAAAGCCTTCCGGCGCCTCACAAACACCGGCTGTGATGACAGAACCCACGCAGAGGGAGACGACTGTGACTCTTTCCAACGGACCACGTGTTGTCGTATCACAGACTATTATCCCAAAAGAAATGGCATAGATTGATTTTCTGGCCAATTATTCAGCTGTTAACCACCAGCGGCAGATCCCCACAAGAGCCTCTACAAAGGGCCCAAAATCTAGCAACCCTTTTGCTGGGTCAATAAAATATTGAAAACAGAAGAGCTTTGAAGTCTAGCAGGGTCCTTCCTGAGGCGGGGATTTGTAGAATTAAAGGCGGCAGAGGGGAAATAGGGAAAAGCTAACAACTGACAAGATACTATTATGATATCAGGATCTGTATTAAAAGAAATAATTGGCGTGGTGGAGAAATTCTAATATGGAACGCCAAACAGAGGGGGAGAGGAGAGGCACGGAAAGGCATCTACCAGCTGGCAGAAAAATGAGGCTGAGTTTTTTAACTTTTGGAGTTCCTACACAGGGCCCACCTGGAGAAGATTTTCTCCTCTGTGTAAAGCTGGGAGTCCATACAGCCAATTTCCCAACCTGGCACATTTCAGCTGTACAATTCTGGGTCTAGAACTATAGTTCCCATCACCAGAGCCAGCAAAGCATGATGGGAGTTGTTGTCCCTCTCCCCTGTGTCAGCTCAAAATGTCAAGTTTGGCCTCCAGCTGTAAAGAAGACTCCTAAGGGTCATGAAATCTTGCGTGCTTTTAATAATTTTGGTGGCCGTGAAAAGCTATTATCCATTTTAGTCTTGAATTTTGGACAAGGGACCCCATGATTTTCTTGTTGGATAATAGGTAACATAAGTGTGTGAGGGGAGAAATCACAGCAGAACTCTAGCATACCGTATTTTTCCATGTATACGACACCCCCATATCTAAGATGCCCCCCCCTTTCTAACCCAGAATTTCTTTCTTTGCAAGAAAGTGGAGGGAAAAACGAGAAATCAAAGTGCTTTGATGATTCCTGCTTTCCCCCTCCACTTTTTGTGAAGAAAGTGGAGGGGGAAAGCAGGAATCAAAGTGCTTTGATCCCTCCTCCTTATTTTGTGTATAAGACGACCCTCAATTTATAATCTAAATATTTTAGACAAAAGCATCATCTTATACATGGAAAAATATAAGCATGGTACTTATTCAGGTGACATGATTGAAACACACGTTTTATTTTTCTTTGCATTTCTTTATTTTTCTTAAGTCAACTGTTGCATATCATATCTTTGTCTTTTCTGTTGTTTCCCTTTTATTGACAACTGCCAATCATTAAGTGTTACCCTTACAATTTTGTGAGTGATGTTAATAAACTCTTTAAATATGATTCCTATCTTCTCAGATTCCTTTAATGTTCGCAATTTACAACCTCAGAGTATGCCATGTATTTGGATGGTTCATCACACTCCAGTCCACTTCATTCAAGGCTGTATGTGATATAATAATGATGTGCTGTAAATTCCATTCTGACTTATGGTGACTCTTTTCAGGGTTTTCCAGGTAGAAAATACACAGAAGTGGTTTCTGGGAGGGCGGTACTCTGAGACTTGTGCAGCTAGCCCCAAGGCCACCCAGGCTGGCTCTTCTCCCAGGAGACGCAGTGGAGAAACAAACTCCCAACCTCTGGCTCCACAGTCAGATACCTAAACCACTAAGCTATCCAGCAAGCTTCTTATGTTATAGCATGATCTTTACTAGCTAGGGCTTTGGGATTAAATGACCTATAAAATCCTTCCAATTTTGCCATGGTTCTATGTTGATCAATTAATTTTCATTTCCTTAATTCCAACACTAGGGTCAACAGCATCTTTTCACCAGCAATGGCTTCCTTCCTTCCTTTTCTATATCCCTCCCTCCCTTTCTCCTTAAGGGAAAACCTTCTTTTTAATTATTGATATTGCCACATGACATAACAACAACAAAGACAGAATTGTAAAAATTACAGCATTAACTTGTAAGAACAATCAAGCTTGTATTTTTAAAATACTCTTGTTTTCACCACAAAATCCTTGAGATCTTCAAGAAGCATGTGGCTGGCAACTTTTTTAGAACAAGAATATTGGAATGGATGGATCTATCTGGATCTGATCCTGCAAGGTTTGCCTTGTACAAACTGGGGACGTTTTTACTGCCTTGACTTGTGACATTTCTTGCTTAGTTCAGTTTCGTGACAGATCTCTTATCGCTGAACCCCGTTTTTGATGTGGTGGCGCTGTGGGTTAAACCGCAGAAGCCTGTGCTGCAGGTTCAGAAAACCAGCAGTCGTAAGATTGCTTTGTCCCAGCTCCTCGCCAACCTAGGAGTTCGAAAGCATGTAAATGCGAGTAGATAAATAGGTACCATCTCGGTGGGAAGGTAAAATGGCGTTCTCTAGTCACGCTGGACACGTGACAACAGAAACTGTCTTCGGACAGGCGCTGGCTCTATGGAAAGCGGGATGAGCGCCGCCCCCTAGAGTCGGACACGACTGGACTAAAAATGTCAAGGCGAACCTTTACCTTTTTTTCTCTCCCACCTCTAATGTTTCGCCCTTTGGCCTGATAAAAAATTCTGAAGGACTGTTCGGTGAATTTATGGTTGCTCCTAATCAATCCACATGTGGATTTTGTTTTAATCCTATAGAGTTCCATAGCCACTTCCTTCCTGTTTGAGGTTGCTTTGTAGCATGTGTTGTGCCCTGGACACCCACATCTGGTTCTTCACAGGAGGATTTCACAGTGGCCAAAAGCCAGCCGATAACTTAAATTGAGTAAGGTTAATAATGTCCTCTGTTGCAGTGATTTTTCAGAAATTAAAATCCTCCCTGGGTAGGCAATCTCAGATAAATGCTGCAGGGAGGATATAATCAATTTTAGGAAGCATAAATTATGCTGCTGGAGTTCATCCAGTTGTCCCTCCTATCCAGAAAGGGCAGCAGGAAGGACTCCAAGAGGAAGAAAAGTGACTTGATCTGGATCTCCCTGTGGCGGAGGAATGCCACAAACCAGACACAATCTGCTGCAGATCCAAGAGCCACAACCTCTGGCGGTTGCTTTTCCCCCTCTTCTCATTTTTTGGTATCATCTGCTCTGTTCAAGCAGGCTGGAGACCGTGAAGGCATGAACGCTGGCAACAAGACGGTGTTGCGTTGACTTCCTAGAGTGGGGGGTTAAAGCGAGAGAGGCGAGATTCCTAGAGAGGCCGTTTGGAACCGAGGATTTAAGAACGGAAGCCGCATCCCGCCCCCACCGCCCCACGTGGCTGGGGAAGAAGCGGCTTTGATGGCCGCCCGGAGCTTCTTTGGGTTGCTGATTCCCCCGCCAAGGATCCGGAGAAGGCAGAGTTCAGAAGGATGCTGTGGATGATGCTCAGGTAGGGAAGGGCCAGGGAGGGGGGAGAGAAAACCCTCGAGGAGGGGGTGCTGCAGGTTGGGGGGGCTGCTTTCCCCGAGAATCCCCGTGTGATGATGGTTTCTCCTCTTTGGTGCAAAGCTAGGAAGCCTACACAGCCACGGTCTCCCACCCCAGCACACTCTGAAGCTCCCATTCCATGCCCACAACTACAATTCCCATCCCCAGAGCCAGTAGGGGGGTGATGGGAGATGTAGTCCCTCTGACCCGGAGCCTGAGGCAGGCTTAACTGCTGATTAGATAATAATAACCTTAGAGAGTACGTGGCTTAATAAGAAGCCTTAGGTCCTCTTTTTAGGAGGAAGGCAGGGTAAAGAAATATATTTGAAATACTGTAAATAAATAAAAATGAGCTATTTTCGTGCAGCCTTTAAGTATTTTGTGCCTTTCTGATTGGTCGAATAAAGGCAGAAACTTAAAATGACTTTTAGAAGGGATTTCTATTTGTATTTTGTCACACTTTTATCCCATTTTTCTTCCGGGGGACTGAAGGTGGGCGGTGCAGCTCTCCACCGCCTCGTCTTCACAACCATCCTTGTGTGAGGTAGACTAGGCTGAGAGAGGAGGCAGAGGAATAAATAACCCCAGGTAGGTCATCCAGTGAATGTCATGGTCTGGTGGAAATTTGAACTCGAGTCTCCCCAACTTCATTGAGACGTAAGGGCATTCCATGTCTAGTCGCGCTGGCTACGCGACCACGGAAACTGTCTATGGACAAACGCTGGCACTGCGACTTGGAAACGGGGATGAGCAACACGCCCTAGAGTCGGACACGACTGGACTAAATCTCAAGGGGAACCGTTACCTTTACTTACCTCCCAACTTCTAACCAGGGATATCAGTCCGTCACAGATATTGCCATCCTTGGGTCCCCAGAGGTTCTTGGACTACAACTCCCAGAAATCCTGGCCAGCACAGCTAATGGTGAAGGCTTCTGGGCATTGTAGTTCAAGAACGCCTGGGGACCTAACGTTGGGAATCACCGCTCTACAAGGAAAATAAAAGATGAGGATTGCCAAGGATAAATGTATGAGACTTGAACAAACTCCCCAGAGCACTATAAGATTTTTATAACACACCCTCCATTGATAGGTTGTGACAGACACCCTGAATTTGTTTGTATGAGAATTGGTTTCAATCTGGCTTGCCGTGAGGGATAAATGGACCAAGCCAAGGGGTTTTTGTGAGGAGAAGAGAGGGAGGCAAAGTAGAAGGGAAAGAGTCGGGCAACCCTAGAGATGGTGTGTAGACATGAGCCAGGTCAGGGGTTTGGCTGGCATATCTTTAGCAGAGGAACACCCCTGGGAACTCAAAACTCTGTCTCCGGTTTCCTTCAGAGTCTCTCTGTTCATCTCTTTTGCTTTTAGGAGGCAAGCAAGTATCGCTCATCCAGTTTTCCTTCTAAAGCTGCCTTCTGCTTGACATATGTTATTGTCTAATTGGTCAAAAAAAAAACTCCTTGGCTTTATTGGATTTGTTCACCCTCTTTAAATCACAACGTTCCTGGTTTGAAGGAAGGGCATGTAGCAGCAGAACGAGGGGATCCTTCCATTTTCTCAGCGTCTGAGCGGGACTGAAGATGGAAGAACCCGACGCGGCAGCTTCTGGGGCCGGAAGGAGCCTCCTGGACATCCAGGCTGGAGACAAGACGGAGTTCTGTGAAAGAACAGTGGGGAAAATTCAGGATGAGGACGGCCTCAGTGCAATCTCACAGCGCCAGCGTTTCAGGCGGTTCTGCTACCAGGAGGACGTGGGGCCTCGGGAAGTTTGCAGCCGACTCCACCATCTCTGCCGTCAGTGGCTGAAGCCGGAGCAACACACCAAGGCTCAGATCTTGGACCTGGTGATCCTGGAGCAGTTTCTGACCATCCTTCCCCTGGAACTTGGGAGTTGGGTGAGAGAATGCCAGCCAGAGACCAGTTCCCAAGCAGTGGCCCTGGCAGAAGGCTACCTCCTGAGCCGAGCAGAGGACCAGGAGAAAGAGCAGCGGGTGAGAAGACAGGTCCGTAGGAGCCAAAATGTGAATTATGAGGCCCTAAAACGGTGATGTAGACCTGAGTGCAGATTAGCTTCAGTCGCCCAAGTACTGGTGGCATCTTGAGATGGTTTTCAGGTGGACATAAGAGATGTGGGTTTTTTTGGTCAAGCCACATACTTCCTGGTGTGTAAGAGACTTCCATTTCATTGGGTGTGTAATTTGTGAATTCTTAGAGCATGGGAATTTAGGTTCTGCCTACAACTCCCAGAATTTGCCGGATAACATGGTCCTCCTGGGGAATTCTAGGAGCTGTAGTCCAAAAAAGGTTTCTTTCTGACATTCTGCCCCAAATTATTTCAGCTCCTAATTTTATACTCAAAAGTCAGCGTGGATAGAGCGTTGGACGGGGACTCAGGAGACCTGGGTTCAAATCCCATCTTGGCTGTTCAGACTCGGGCCGTGTATGTGTGTGGGAAAGAAACGATTCCTTGAGCAGCTCACATACCTTGGAACCCGCATTTGTTTTTGTTATGTGCCGTTAAGTCATTCCATGGGGGCTCTATGAATGAGCACTCTCCAAATTGCCCTGTCCTCGGCAACCCTTCTTAGTTCTTGTAAATGCAAGTCTGTGGCTTCCTTTAGGGAATTCATTCATCTCATATTTGTTCTTCCTCTTTTCCTGCTGCCTTCCCCTTTTCCCAGCATGAGGGTCTTTCCCAGGGAATCCTGCCTTCTCATGATGTGCCCAAAGTAGGACAGCCTCAGTTTCAACATTTTTGCCTCCAGAGAGAGTTCAGGCTTGATTTGTATTTAGGACCCACTTGTTTGTCTTTCTGGCAGTCCAGGATATATCTGCAAAGCTCTCCTCAAACACCACATTTCAAATTATTATTATTATTTTCCTGGCAGCCCCTGAGGGTCACCCTAAAATTGGGAATGCCTTGATGGTATGGAACAACCCTTTTATCTTTTTATTTTTTTAATAGCACTTCTGCTTCCGGTTTTTATTGCTGGTTATCCTTTGGGGGCACTATTTTGGCCCTTTTAGTGTTTGATTATCATCTTATTGTTCTTTCTGGCAATAGACAATGTGAGGAAAGGATCCTAGCTCTCAGGGGAGAACCTGGGGAGAAAAAAGGGAAGTCTTGGAACTTGTTCCAGGGAAGCCTGGGTGATGCAGAATTAAAAATAATAAATAATTAAAAAAAAACCTACAACAGTCACTCTTCCCACACGTAGTGTCCTTCGAGGCCTGAGTATATTTAATAGAATGAAAAACCACAAACAGAAAAGGTGAGAACAGAGTGTCTGACAGGAAATTATGACAGATGCTTTTTTTTCTTTGTAGGTCTTATAGTTGGCCTTCTATTTCTGTCTAGAAAATGCACTGTGCTCTTTCCTTGTTTCTGTTTTGTTTGCTCTGATTTCAGTCCACTGCAATTGCAGTGTTGTTTTTAATCTGGATGGAAGGACATGGTTTATGGGCAGCCCCTGAACATACGGCCTCCCAGAGCACCCACCTCCGTGACTGAATCTGTTGTTCCTTAATTCCGTGGAATCCTGTGCAATTCCAAAACACACCTCTTTGCTTCTATTTATGGGAATTTTTATCTGTATTTTTACCTCCAGGGCCTGCTGACAGGAGCTGCTTTTGAGGCACAGGAAGCTCCACAAAGCCTGTCCTTCAAGTGTATACTGCAGGATTGTCTTGTAGGCGCCTCCTCGCCAGGTAAGGTTGTAGAGGGGGGATGTTTCACCTTTACTTGACTCGCGTCACCCAGTGCTTAAAAACCTGGGAGGCCTTTTACATTTCCCTTAAGACTGTGGCTCAAATTCTGTTGTGTAAGTTACACCTGATGTCATTAGTAGGGGAAGATTGTCAGTAATCAACGACTTCCTCATTCTGTCCTGCAGCTTCTTCAACTCACAAGTAATCTGTTCCATTGCATTGAAGCTATGAGAACCATGGAATGGAAAGAGGATGAGTTATCACTCCCTGCCAGTAATATCGTTTTCTGGAAGAGGTTTTTTGTAGTTAAAGACTTCCTCCCCCTATCCTGTGTCTCCCATTGCTTCCATGCAGTGAAAGGGATTACTTGGGATTCAGAGAAGCCACAAAATAGAAGGAGGAAGTTCTTAATTACTACACTTCTCTCCCTGCTACTGACATCATTACCCTTCCACAAATATAACATACACAACAGGATTTTGACCTGTGTGAGTGATATGCTTGTATTTTGCTGTTTGAACCACTGTTGATGCTTCCAGTGTGGAGGGGATTATGGTCAGAGTAACTGAAGAATTTACAGGCAGCCAGCTTATTATTGTTACAACAGCAAGTATTAATTGCACTGCATGCTGGACAGGGAACCAATTGTATTTGTCTTCAGTGTGGAAGGGATTGTCACTCTCGAATTGGCCTTCTCAGCCTCACTAGACGCTGTTCCAAGTCCTCCATATATAGCATGTTGAGACTGAAGGATGCCTACACACGTTATTAACCAAAAGGAAAGAACGTTTCAGAGGAGTATTGCCTAGTCCCCTCTCGTGGCCAATTCTGATATTGCATGCTGGAAATATTTATAGTCCTTTACCAAGAATAGACTCTTCCAAATCCCTGACTGGCAGAATGTAAACAAAATGATACTTCTGCAGCTGTATTTGAGGTCCAGACTATCACTCTGAATTGTGCAAAGAGCCAATATGGTAGGTAGGGGTTGTATGCCATTGTATACAAGATGGAGCTGGGTGTGGGTTGTGTAAAATGAAATGCATATCTCTGTATGGAAGGTGCAGTATTATCGTGCTACACTGGTGTCACATACAGGTGGTGGAAAGACGCGGGCAGTGCCCATAGAGATGCATCTTCTTGGTGGTGGATTGGAAGTCGCTTCTGCGCAACCAGATCAGGTAGATCAGTTGCTGGGGAGGTGGCTTGTGGATTCACCGTCCCTCGGTGTCCCTTTGTATCTCCAAGAATCTCTGAGAATCTGCTTCTTCTCCTTTCCCCTTTTTCCAAAACTACCCCATGAGAACTCTGAATTCTCTCAGTCAAAACTTCCATTTCTGTAGCCATCTTGCCTTTCCTGACTTTTTGTGAGGGCCGCAGTGGAGGACTGTATATTAGAGCATCAGACAATCCTCCCTTGATCGTATAAACACACAACGGGGTGGGGGTCGGGCCCCGCAGACCCTCTCCTTGAGTATTTCATACACCTCAAAAACTCTGCGAGGGTCCTCATACTTCAGACACGATTGTCTGGTAAAGAACAACCACAATCTATGAGGATAAAATGTGAGTCTTCTTTCCTCAGGATCCAGTGAGCTTTGAAGACGTGGCTGTATGTTTCTCTGAGGAGGAGTGGGCGCTGCTGAATCCAGGCCAAAGGACCCTACAGTGTGAGGTTGTGGCAGAGAATTATGCAAACCTGAACTCTCTGAGTAAGGCTCCTTTCTTTCCATGGGTCTGAGAAAGTAGGTGGTAATCCACAAAAAATCCCCCTAAAATATACCTCCCATCAATCTCTATGGCCAAGTGGGGGATTCAAACCCAAGTCTCCTGAGTCTTAAGAGTCCAGCGCTCTATCGACTTTACCACACTGGCTCTTGATTGTAGAATTAGGAGCTGAAATTAGGTTTTTGTTTCTTTTCTGTTTTTCTTCTGTTTTCAATCTTCTTGCTGAAACAGGCTGACATGGCTTCATCTTGGAAAACTTGAACCCAAGCATTTAAAGGCTTTAAATCTGGATAAGAGGAGGATCTTTTTTTCCTTTTGGGGACAATACAGTAGAGCTCAGCTTTTGTGTTTACATGGTGCAGAAGTTAAGGTACAAGGTGGGTGCACCTTTGCGCCTCAGCTTTGAATCAAAAGAGGTGTTAATCTGTAGTCAGAATTTCCTGATTTGGGGCAGAGGAGGGGGAATATAATTTTAGCCCCAACTTCTTACTGTAAACCAAATGTGATTTTTAAAAAAATGTGTTTGAGGTATAAAATAATGCTTTATCTGGAAAGGAAGCTGGGAAGACTGATCTCTAGGCTACGTATGTAGCTCGCTAGCAAAGGAGGTGAAGTAAATATGAGAGCGTGGGGCTTGTTCTACTGCACGAAATAGCAACGTTGTCACCTGAGCCACCAGGTTTGAGCTGTTATGAAAGGAGAGCAAAATATTTACTGTTATTGCTGCAGAATCACAGCCAGTCAGACTGGACACTACTGGATGGGTGAACAACTGGAGCAGGTGTCAGCCAGCCAACTCTCTCCTGTTCCTTGAGGGAGGAAGCTGGGGGGAACCATGGCCAGTAATCCTAATAAGAACATACACCAGTGAAACTTTAGTGGTGTGACTTCTAGAGCAGTGTTTGCCAACCTCAAAGGGGTCGCAAAGTGTTTTCAGGGTGTCACTGATCACCTTATATGTATTGTAAAGGTAAAGGTAAAGGTTCCCCTTGACAATCTTTGTCCAGTCGTGTTCGACTCTAGGGGGCGGTGAAATTTCATGGCGAGACTTCTTGAACAGTGTTTGCCAACCTGAGGGGGGCGGTTTGTGACCCTCAAAGGGGTCGCAAAGTGTTTTCAGAGAGTCACTGATCACCTTATATGTATTGTAGCCTTCATCAAATAATTCCTTCCTTGATCTTTTGTGATATTAAGTTAGCATTTATTTGTATGTAAGAGTAACAGGCACTTTTGGGGGAGAAAGTAGCCTCTGCTTTTTGAGAAATGATAACCAGGGCTATTTTTGAATGAATGAATGAATGAATGAATGAATGAATGAATGAATGAATGAATGAATGAAAGGAGGCGGGAGCTGGGACAAGTGACTTGGATTCGATCTTACGACTGCTAGTCTTCTGACCCTGCAGCACAGGCTTCTGCGGTTTAGCCCGCAGTGCCACCACGTCCCTATATGTATTGTAGCCTTCATCAAATAATTCCTTCCTTGATCTTTTGGGATATTAAGTTAGCATTTATTTGTATGTAAGAGTAACAGGCACTTTTGGGGGAGAAAGTAGCCTCTGCTTTTTGAGAAATGATAACCAGGGCTATTTTTGAATGAATGAATGAATGAATGAATGAATGAATGAATGAATGAATGAATGAATGAAAGGAGGCTGAGCAGCATTAGCAGCATCCGTAGTGCCACCATATTGGGGAACAATGACAACAGCCTACTTATGCAAATGTGGCAGGGGAGGTCACAGGTTACATAGCTATTATACAAAGGGGTCATGACTTGAACAAGGTTGGGAGCCACTGTTCTAGAGACTAAGCTACTTCAAGTCTAGCTATTTCCAGAAGAAATCTTTTTATACATTTTCAATTCCATGTTGAGTTGTGCAACTCACTAGACAACAGGTGATTTCTTCACTTTAGGTGACTTGTCTCTGAAAATTACACTTTTGGAGTAGCCAACCGGATTTTGGGCAGTGAATGCTCTAAGCCTTAGACTAAATAGAGAAAAGTAAATACGACCAGAGAGCCATTGGCTGAAATCCTGTTGCTTAGCATAGTGAGTTATAACTAGAGTAGGCCTATTGAATCAGTGTAACTTATGGAGGAGTTGACCCACCAAATCCCCATGGATTCACTGGGCCTACCCTAGTGGCTTACTATCCTTTGCAACAGGATTTCAGCCACTGTGTACATCCACATTTTTCTAAACCACAGAGTTCTATACAGCTTAAGAGAATTGAGAACTTTGTTGTAGTTACCTGCTTCTAATCTTCTACAGTTCTTTGCTGCTTATCAACTGTTTGCACCCTGAAAATGAAGCTTCCTTTTTCCCCTCAGTAATTTATCATCTATTTTGCTCTATTCCAGCAGACGATATGTGGAAGAGCAGAAAAGAAGATGCTCTGCATGGAGATTTAGAAAGAATTAGATATCCAGAAGAGGAAGAACTGAAGAGAACCATGGAAACCAAAGCTGAAGAGAAGCGGAAGGATAGGATCTTGATTACTGAAGGTGGTGGCGTTCGTGAAACAAGAGTCCAAGGAATGGCACACAGAGACAGCATTTCCTTTCTACCTCAAGGACAAATACCCTTAGATGAATTACAGATCCAAGAAAATAAAAAAGTTAAGTGTGAGGTATGTGGGAAAAGCATTAGTAAACCACATATGAGTATACATAAACAAATCCACACAGGGGAGAAGCCATATGAATGTTCAAGTTGTGGAAAGGGCTTCAGGCGGAGGGAATACCTCAAGGCGCATCAAAGTGTACACACGGAGGAGAAAGCGTACAAGTGCGTGGAGTGCGGAAAGGACTTCAAATATAAGAAAAATATGACATTACATCAGAAACTACATACCTGGAAGAAATTATGGGAGTCTTCGGAGTGTGGCTCCGGCGAAGGCCTTCTGCTGCATTGTAGCACCGGTGCATATGAGAAACCATTTCCATGTCCGTACTGTGGAAAGCGCTTCAACCGAACCGCAGACGTCAGAATGCATCAAAGAATCCACACAGGGGAGAAACCGTACAAGTGCTTGTTGTGTGGAAAGAATTTCACCCACAGTGCAAGCCTCAGTTCCCATAAAATAATGCATACAGAAGACAAGCCGTTTAGGTGCTCTGAGTGTGGAAAGAGCTTCCGTCGGAATAGCTCTCTTACCATCCATCAGAGACTTCACACGGGGGAGAAGCCCTTCAACTGTTCATTGTGTGGAAAGAGCTTCAGCCACCGAAGAAGCTACTCTCTCCACCTGAAAGTGCACACAGGGGAGAAACCGTTTACATGCACAGACTGTGGGAAAGGCTTCATAGAGCTTTCGTACCTTAAAACCCATCAAAGAATCCACACGGGGGAGAAACCGTACACATGCTCACCGTGTGGGAAGAGTTTCAGGTGGCGCAAATGCTTCAGATTACATAAAAAGTCCTGTGAATCTGAGAAATAACAGGATTGTGGATGGAATAGATGCCTAGAATTCCTGTTATGCAGTTCTGTGTGTAATTCATGTATACATTACTGAAACAGCGACGCCTGCATTGGCTTGGGCATGTTGTGAGGATGGCTGAGAGTCGGATTCCAAAAGATCTCCCGTATGCAGAATTAGTGAAGGGAAAGTGCCTCAGGGGGAGACCACAGCTGCGATACAAGGATATCTGCAAGCGGGATCTGAAGGCCTTCAGAATGGACCTCAGCAGATGGGAAAACTTGACATCTGAGTGTTCAGCCTGGAGGCAGGTGATGCAGCATGGCCTCTCCCAATTTGAAGAGACCCATGTCCAGCAGGCCGAGGCAAAGAGGCAGTCTCAAAACCAGCAAAACCTGGGAGCCGGACAGGGGACAGCTTGTATTTGCCTTCAGTGTTGAAGGGATTGTCACTCTCGAACTGGCCTCCTCAGCCGCACTAGACTCTGTTCCAAGTGCTCTTCAGAGCATGTTACCATAGTCTCTTGAGACTGAAGGATGCCTACTTGCGTGATGATTTCATCACCCGAAAATCGCTACTGAGGAAAGACAAATTGCTGCTGATTTTGGTGATTTCAGAGTGCATCTAGCGTGTATACAGTTTGATGATGTCTCATACATCCCAAAATTGCCTCAAACCTTCTAGAAGTGTAAGATTAATTCCAGCTGACATAGCTCAGCAGACTGGACTCCAGGCTATGAACTCAAGATCTGGGCCTGCCACCAGTGCTGTCTTGGGCAAGCTACATGGTGGTCTCAAAGTGTTGGCCCCACCAGAAGGGAGGAAGCCACTTCTAAGTACTTCGTAACCAAATAATCTGGGATGGGTTGCCCTAAATCAGATCACCTTCATGGCACATAGTAAAAATTAATTTTTTAAAAAACTTTTGATAGCAAGGTTTCTTCATTAAACATGCATTGAAACATACATCCTTCCTCGTTATGTTTCATTGCTTTTCACCTTCCACCAAACCGTAGTGTGTCCTGATCCATGGAAGAAGAAACCAGGTGGGAAAAATTGCCAAACTGAACTGGCTGCAGTATCTGCAGGGAATCGGTTACAAGTCCCCCCCTCCCTGGATGCTGAAAACAGTGGATAAGTGAAGCACTTGCTTCCAGTTTGCCTAGTGTCCATGAATGATGGAGCGAGGGAATCCTGGGCCAGTCTTGCCAGACTACTAGGTTTCTGTCCCCCCCTCCCGTCTGCAAGGGAGCCTTCCCTGAAACCAGCAACCCCCCGCCACAGCATCTCCATTTCACCAGATTAAGGCAACAGACCCCCAAGTCCACTTCCCTTAAGCCAGCGGTCCCCAACTGTTTTGGGGCCGGGCACCGGCTGGGGGAGTGAGCTCCATGCGCGGGGGGGGTGTCACACCGGCGTGGTGTGTGTTGCACATGTGCATGAGCACAGCACATCCCCTGCAGGTGTGACACGCCCCCTGTAGGCGTGACATGCCCACCATGGGTGCGACACGCACCCCCGTGTGAGCGTGACATGCCCCCATGTGCGTGTGGGGGGAGTGGAGTTCCATATCTGTGGTCCAGTTCTGGCAAGCCAACGGACCAGCACTGGGCCACGGATGGGGGCTGACAACCCCTGCCTTAAGCCACCTATATCTAGAATAGTCTCTTGTTCCATCTGGTGCCCAGTCCTGGTAATACACCTCAGGAGTGTGTATTTTGGGTTTCACCATATATCACTTGTCTTTAATATACAGTGGTGCCTCACATTACGACAATTCGTTCCAGCGAAATTGCTGTAGAGCGAAAACGTAATGCAAAAATAAAAAGCCCATTGAAATGCATTAAAACCCATTTAATGCGTTCCAATGGGCTAAAAACCCACCGTCCAGCGAAGATCCTCCATGGGGCGGCCATTTTCAGTGGCTGTCTTGCGAGGAATCTGTCCCAGAAAACAGCAGGGAGCCATTTTATTTACCCAGTGGCCATTTTGAAACTACCGATCAGCTGGAGGGAAATCGTGGTTTTGCGAAGAATTGGTTCCCGAAGCAGGGAACCGATCATCGCAAAGCGAAGAAAAAAACCATTAAGACCATCGTTTTGTGATCGCAATTGCGATTGCAAAGATCATTGTAATGCGGTTTCGTCATAATGCGGGGCAATTGTAAAGTGAGGCACCACTGTATTAGAGGTGTAATAAAAGTATTAGCTGGATAACTCAATGATTTAGGCTGGGAGTCCGATTCCCCACTGGTTCACTTGGGAGAAGAGCCAGCCTGTGTGGTCCTGGGCAAGCTGCTTTGCTTTGCTGGACTCTCAGCCATCATTCCTTTGTGACTTAACCGCCTGACCCGGGGACAGCCAGAGGACTGAAGTGGCCCTTGCCGACCTACAAGCAGGATGTCCTTGAGAGAGGCCACCCCTCTCCTCTTTTCTACACGGTAGAGATGCCCCCTGTGGTGTAGTGGATAGAGTGATGGACTAGGACTCTGGAGAACAGGGTTCAAATTCTCAATCAAGCCATGGGAACTGACTGGGGGAGTGGAACTGGTAAGACCTCTCCTTAAATATCTCACTTACCTTGAAAATCCTGTTAGGGTTGCTCTAAGTTGGTTCCGACTTGACAAGCATGTAGCAACAACATAACAGAGCTACAACAGGTGCTGATAACCGAGGGGCTTCCGATAAACAGGAGTCTGGAGAAGTATTTAGAAACCTATTCCTCTCTAAGGAGTAGTCTGAAAAGGTACAGCATCAGGTTCTTGTTGCCTTCCTTAAATCTGAGGTGAATGAGACATATTAAACTGGGTGAAGGAAGAATGTGAAGGCAGTGCAGCTCCCTTGGGTCACCCTAGACCACCCAACCCCATCACATGTCTCTCCCCCATCCCCAAGTCCCACTTGTCCTCAAGGGTGCCTCTTTCTCAGAGGAGAAGTGTGGGGAGGAAAACAAGCATCAGCGCATGACAGGAATATACCTGGAGCTGGTTATTATTCAAAAGAAACTTGCTTTACTCATCATTGTAAAACTCATACTCATTGACATTGACTTTTATGTAACTTAATCAAGGGAAATTAACGTAAATCAGACTGTCTCAACCCTGGAGCATTTCCTGCATTATTGGTCCTGCATTATTGCATCGAAATAGGATTCTGGGCAATATAACTTAATGAGAGTTGTTATATTGGGCCATCAAGTTTCCCTCGACTAATGCTGCCCCCATGAAAGAGCGATCTCCAAAATGCCCGGTCCTCAACAGCCTTGCTCAGCTCCGGAAAACTGAAGCCTGTGGGTTCCTTTAAGGAGTCAGCCCATCTTGTATTTCATCTTCCTCTTTTCCTGCTGCTTTCCACTTTTCCCAACATTATTGTCTTTTCCAGGGAATCCT